TTTTAAAGGGAGTCTATCTGATTTCCTTGAACAGGCCTATTCATTAACAAATACAGTTATTTATAGGCTCAATACAGCCCTCCCATTCCAGCTCCAAGGCATTTTAAGCAACTCTTAAAAAACATACAGACATCTTTAAGACAATCTAGAGTATAAAGGTATGCTGAAGCACTTTATTGGTAAGAAGAGCAAATGAAGGTTGAGGTCATGCAAAAAAAGGAGGTTTCCTCTGCTGGAATAACTGCTACATGGTGCTAAACCAGAAGAGCCCTTTGCTGTTGTAAGCATTGACTCCAAATGGAGATGTGGCAACAGACTAAGGAGTCAAGACCAGAATTAAGCAGAGAGTGAATGGGACTGAATGTGGGAACATGAATGGGACTGAAGAGGTGAGAGATAGTCCAGGGCACCAGGTCTCAGCCCCTCAGTCCCATTCACAGGGACAGGGCTGATGTCACTCACCAACAACTGGAGCCGTTGGGAAGGCAGAGCCCAAGGTGCCCGTCCTCATGTAGCACTGATGCCGTTTGTCACCCACCTCTGCACCCACCCTGTCTTGGGGGAAGGTGCCTCCCCATCTCCCATTGCACTCATTTTACAAAAGCAGAGCGCTGCTGTCTCAGTTCCCATAAAATCACCACAAATTCCCAGCCCAACTGCAGTCTAGATGCAAAAGGCAAGTCAACAAATCAATGTGAACTCATGCAAGTCTGCGCAGACTTGCAAATCTCACAAGTACCCCCATAATATCAACTCTACACCTTTGACTAAAATTATCCCTATCTGCATTTACGGTCTCAAGGATTCACAAAGACAGCTTGATAGCCTTTTATACATGCACAGCAATTAAAGACTGGTCTAAAAAGCACATCCTCCCCTCTGTGATGCTATGGGACAGGTTTTTGTGAAACAGAGGAAAAGATTCCTAGCATCCCCACTGATCTGCAGGGACTTTTGGTGGAATACCCCCAAGACAGCCTCAGCATCCTCAGGAGGACACTGACTCCCATCCTGACTTCCCGGGAACTGGAGCAACATGCACTGAAAAAGCAACTGATGGATGAATGAAGACCTCGTATTTCCTGATCACCTTTAAGGGTACCCGGTATTCCCACGTCAAACAGGGTTTTTGTGGAAGCAGCATCAGGAAAGTTTCCAAAACAAATGCTGCAATACTAGGGAATGTGAATACCCCTTTATGACTTCTGCCTTTGCGGTACTACCACATTTCTTCCAAGCAGCAGAGCGATTCAGAGACAAGTTTGCGCAGTGAATCTCCCTATCCTCTGCTTGTCATGACGCACGTGCATCCTGCAAGGGAAACTTCTGGGGGTTTAAAGGCCAGGCGCGTTATTGTGAGGGAGAACAGGCAGAGTCCAGCACTGACAGCACCTACCCAGCAATGTGTAATCAAGTCCATTTACTTGTCTTTAGTGTGGATCTTTCTGTCATCTGCTCTGTGGTGCACACACACACATACACACACATGCACTGATAAGAAGCTAAAAATTTCTTATTTCTTTTAATAAGAAGTTAAAAGCTTGTCCGTGCAAGGTAGAAAGGCAGCTTTTATAAAATTTAGTAGCTAACAGGTCAAGGCAACTTCTAAGTATCTCTGTATTAACAATACAATTAATCTTAGCTACACTAAAATTTACTAATGTTTGACAGGGTTGATTGGCTTTGTAATGGGTTCATATTTTCCTAAGTTTGAGAGGATAAAAAGGCTTTTTCTTCTTGTGAACAACCTGTAGGATCTACAGGGTGAATACACAGGCAGTTTTCACTGAAGAAAATTATTCACTTTATAAAAATCTGACAAGCATCCAAAGAAACCTGCAGTTCTGAAGTAATGGTGCCAGGACTAGAGGATACCCTTGAAATAAGCACTGGTAGCGGAAAAAAAAAAAAAGAGACAAAAGATGAGGAAGCGGGATAAGAAACTTGCTGTATTAAAGCTAAGGATACAGAGGCTTGAAGACATTGGTACAAGTTGGTTAACATCACTTCCATTTTAAGCCATAATACTGAGGCCACATAACATATTAGTCAATACTAATACTAATTTGCTTTTATACACCTGGGTCAATGGCCCAAAGCACGGACACAACCGGAGATCAGGAGAACAGAGACAAACTGCATGCCAGATGCAGCTTTCAATGACTTTCCATTCTACTTATGATTATTGTACTGTTTATACTTTTATTCCAGAATATGAAATTAGGAAGAAAAGGTTATGCAAAACATGACTCATTCCAGGAGGAAAAAGAAATATAACTTTTTTAAAAAAATTATTTTCTCTGGGTTAAATAATTCTGGCACAACTACTTCTCGCCTGCCTCTCCCTGTTCACAGATTATAATTTTACTGCAGTACCAGAGGAGTTTAAGGGGAGCCCAAGAGTCAATTCCAAGACAAAGAGCAGGAAAGGAAGGGAAAGGAAAGCCTGGGCTGCTGTAATCATGGATAACTGCTGGAGCAACTTTGCACATGCTAGGAATGCAGGAATGCCACTAATTAATCACTGCTAACTACTCCGAGATGAAGTGAACCATATCCAGTAGCTAACAGTCCACACTATAATGTTCACAGCACCCAAGTATCCAGCAATGAAGATGCTTGTTACAGCGCCAGAAACAACATTCCCAGCAAAATATTGTAACTAAAGATGAAGTGATTATATAGGATGGTAGCAAAAAGGGCTGCATAGTTTACAGGTGAACTGAAAATCTCTTCACAATCTATTTTCCACAATACTTTTGAAAGCTGGAGAAGCAGATGAACAAATAAAGGAGTAAGTGAGTTTCTTCAGATCGCTGAGGATACTATGCCTTTGATATATACATCTCTTTGCACCATACATAATTATCCCATAACAAGACAGCAGATAAGAATGCAGCTACGGAAAATGTCCTATTGGTTCCTATTCAGAAGGAGGTAGTTTGTAAAACACAAAGCAATCACAAAGGCCCACAAAGGCTCACAGTTTTAGAGGCTGCCTGATCTGCTAGTTTGATACAGTGCTCAAAATCCCAAGCAAGACCCAGTGTGCATTCGGAAAAGCTCACAGCCACTGACTCATTAAAAAGAAAGGAGTCCTAAACCAAAGGCAAATCCTGCCAGGACTTAAGTGTAAGGCAAGAACTGGCCCTTTGCTGCACAAAATGCTACCATGCACCAGCACTGTACTAGATGCCCACTTTGCTCACATCACACAGATGTAAAGTTTCAGTGAAAAACCCTTTGAAGTAACAACTCCTCCACTGCCATTGCTTTTGCAGGGAGTACTGAGCCCCAAGGATTCTGTGTGGGAGCGCTCAGAACTTCCCGGAGTGCCTTGGTTAACTCCAAGATAAATATTGCAATGGTTATTATCTCATGTTTAAGCTCAGATCTTCAGCTGGTTTAACTGGCATAGCTCCAGTGATGTCCATTTAGACTAAGTCGCCTATCTTAATTCAAGGTTTTAGTTGCTCCTAATAAATAGTCCCCTTTCTACTGGCAGTTCGGAGTGCTCAGAAGTTACTGCCACGCTCAGCATCACGCTTAAAAACTATTACCAAAAATAATATTTTTCCTCTCTTTCAATAAGATGCACATAGAATGATCTTTCCATCATTTACAAAACAAACTACACCACCTCCTCCACTATAATTAGCTATCTCAAATTACACTTTCATACAGCATCATTTGCATATAAATATAAAAAAATTTTTTTTTTACAATTCTCTGGGGACATTAAGGACAAAAACCAAACAAGAATGGAATTAAGCAGCTAAAAAAACCAGAGACCCTCCATAACAATCCTTTATAATATTTTTGCCTGCTTTCTTACTGTTATTTGTGTCCTTCGCAATTCGTGTACATTTTCCATCTCTCTCTTTATTCAACCCTCCCACCCTTGTCCCATCCATATCTGCACCCTCCTCCCGCATCAAAAGATACTATAGATTAAAAGGATTTGTTTCAGCATTTTCAACTGTACTGTGCTATCTCTGCATTTCTACAGCTGATCAGGATGCAGAGAGGCCACTAAGTTTGTGCATCTTCATTTAACATATCACAATCGCACATTTGTGTGATACGAATGTGTCACACACATTTTGATATCACATATCAAAAAAGATTAACTGAAAATGCAGCAAGTCTGTTCCCAACAGCAATCAGTTTTTCCAGAGTATTTCAGAAATGGAGATTTTACAATTTTTCAGTTAGATCTCATTAACATTACTTATTATTTCTATTGGTCAATTCTCAAATGTGCAAAAGAGTAACCACTATTTTTTGATTACTATCATTAAAAGCATTAAATACTTTAAAAAAAAAAAGACAAAGGAGAAAGAAAAGTTTTGACTGCATAAAGCTAAGTCATGTTAGAGACCGGAGAACACTTAATGATAGCTTCAGTAATTCTACTGCAAAAACCAAGGTAAAATAAAGCTTTTACCTCTCGTGGTTTCAGGGAAAATATTTAAGAAGACTACAGCAAAAATTGTGTGTCCAGGAAACTCCCTGGCATTCCATGAGACTTGTGACCAGACTCTGAAATTCCTAGCAAATAGGTGCACCTGAGTGACACCCGAGCAATTAAAAACAAAAATATTTAATTAAAAAATCTCTAGCATCTTTCTCTTTGTGATTCTGAGTACCTTTCCTTTGAAACTTTCCAATCACTACCTTTATTCAAACGATTTTATTTTGTTTGTGCCCAGAAACGCAGGTAGGATTCAGGCATGGTTACTTTAAGAGCTATACAAAGAGTAGGAAATGGTTTTCACTGCAGAAAGCTCATAACAATCCTAAGGGACAAAGCCAGAATAATTAGAGCAGTCAGCTCATACCTGTATGCACATCCTTGCTATTTTCAGTCAGGTTTGGCTTTTTTGTTTTTCAGCTTTTGTCATTATGTAAGCCCAGACTTCACAGGGATTTCGGATCACCTTCAAGTTGCTCAAGAAATTGGTCTTGGCCAATTCTCACAAAAGGAGATCACCTCCTACCTGGAATAAATTCCGCTGACCATGTTGTGCTGGAAAGAGAGATCTGCTGTACTGGGTCCTGCAGCTTTGGAAATGAGCAGCACGACCAAGCCTCGCATCTGTAAATTATTCCGGCTATCGTAGACAAACCCACTGCAAAAAAGGAAATAAAAAAGGCAAGTTTTACACGAGTCATTTTCTTCACTGGTAATATAGAATTGGAATAAAAATACTTGAACCTCAGGCTGCCATCACTTTATTGAGTCGCTAATATTCACACCTCTGTGGAAATAAGCTGCAGTTACTCATCATGATTTTTTGTCATCCTTTACCCTTATCACATAATGAAATCTGACTACTACAGATGAAAATAAGCATTGAAAAATCAAACCCTGTTTGTTTTCAAGGAGTAGCCTGCGTCCTGCATTTCTGTCAAGATGTCATGAAAGGAGTATTTCAGAATAATTTTATGTGATATACTGTAATGGGAACATAAGAGATTTCAGTTTGTTTCTGACATCTGAATAAGCTTCAAGAACCCATATATGTCAAGAAACAGAAAAAGGGAAAACAAAAGGGGAAAGTATAATCAAGATGTATCCTCTTTTCTGCTTAGATCAGAGTAGTTAGGAGACTGCACAATAAACACAAGGTGGATGGATTTTAGAAAGAGAATATGCAAAAGTTGATGAAAAAGCATATAAGAAGTTAAATTTAAATGTAACTTCTTTAACAAATTTAAACTGTTTGTTTAAACAGTTTAAACACACTTTCAAATTCTGTATCTTTAAATCTGGGGTCAGAAGGCCACCTCCAAAACCTTTCTGTCCAAAAAAAAAAAAAAAAAAAATCTGAATAACCATTAAAATGCACCAGCCCTGAAATTAACTTATTATAATGTAAGTTTTAGTTTCCTTTTGGGCTGAAGAGTCTCAAATTTCAGGACAAATTTCAGGACAGAAAGGATTTTCTGTCCTTGCCAAAGCCACCTTGTACTTCCCATAATCATTAATAAGAACAAATATTCAAATGAAAGGATAATACATTCCAGATACTACTAAGTTTTTAAACTAATTTCCAGTAAATTAAAATCCATTCCTCTGAGATCACCTGAATATTTGCTAAACAAATCATAAAAACTACTCCACAGATGACTATGCAGTTCAACCTATCTTATTCTAGAGTATAAGCTTATATTTTGCAGCGATTAGTGTAGAACAGAACTGCCTTTAAAACAGCCACCAGCCTCGATTTGCAATAACGCAATTAAGTGTTTATCTCTCCAAACAGAGCACGAAAGCAAGAACAGAAAACAACGTGTTATCTTGCCAGCTATCTTAAAATTCACTTCTGGAAATGACGAGATCACGGATCCCTAACACTGCGGTGAAAGACGCTCGGCACGGGCTTTAGCTCTGCACATGAGACACAAGTGCTGCATCCTGAGGAGGAACTACCCCAAGAAACAAACACGCACACCAGCAAACACAAATTTGGAATAATCCATGCCGTGTAAGTATCCCGCATACAGAATTCCTGACTCTGGCGGTGCAGGGACTTCGCTGCTTGGGCTCCAGGTGGCCTCGCTCCTCGCACAAACCCGCAGGTTACACAGCTGAACGCCAGAGCTGCCTCCCTGCTCCTCGGGGCCATTCACAACCCCAGCACTTTAAAAGAAAGTGGGGTTGGGAGAAAGTTACTGCCACTCTCCTTCCACATGTGTGTGCTGGGAAAAAACAGAGTACCTTACTATATGCAGGATCCCCTAACACGTGGATCTTTTTTTTTTTCCCTTTTAAAAGTGCTAAATTGGGGTGATATTTTTATAAAATCAGAATATTGAGGTTCTTTTTTTTTAATGCCCAGTCACTTGGTTATACAGGAAATAAAGCCATGCCCTAGAGGATTACAAAGCCCAGACTTTCAAATGGAAAGTGGATAGGCACCGCTACAAACCAACCATTACAGCACGTTAAATATACGTGTCCCGCGGCGAGGCCGCTCGGAAAGAAAAAGGCACATTAGGGTCATTTTACTTGCTGGACACGGAAAATACAATCTCCATCCAAAACCGGGGATCTGGATCCCAGTTTCCCAAACTTCAGCTGTTTTGGTAGGAGTCTGGGGAAACTCCTACCAAAACAAGTAGGTGAGTCAAACGCTCTACAGCAACCAGCTCCTGCAAAATGTCAAGGATTTGGAGAAGGAAAAACAAAATAAAACCAACCCCCAGCTGCTCTAGCTGTTAGCCACGTGACAACAACACAGGATGGTTGAGGTTGGCAGGGACCTCTAGAGATCACCCAGTCCGACCCCCTGCTCCAGCAGGGACACCCAGAGCACGGGGCACAGGGCGGCATCCAGGCGGGTGGCATCGCACCAGACTGCAAGGCAAAAAAGAAAAAACAGCTCCTGCTCTCATCCTTTTTTTTTTTTTTTCCATAAAATCCTGTGAATATAAACCCAGGCAAGAAATATGGCAGATAGGGCATTGTGCCGCCAGTTAGTGGACATGCACAAAAGAGCAAAAATACGTCAGTGACTAAAATAACACCACTGTGGCAGTGAGATTCATTCACTTTTCTGTTCCGCTCCAAAGGGGAAAGAGGGGGGAAAAAGGAGGGGAGAACCTGAGTGCCCCTGAGCCCTCCAGTCCAGTCCACGTGCCAGATGTTGAGTAAAGGAGGAGGAGGAATAAGAGTCACCTGTTGACACAGCTCTGATAAAAAGCAGCTGGGAAGAAGATGGTAAGGCACAAGACAAATCAGTTCTGCTGATGGAGGAAATTTATAAGCTTAGGATCACATCAGCGAAAGCACAGGCTAGTTTGCAGCTCAAATAAAAACTACTAAGGAAAAAAAAGAAAGAAGAAAAAATCCATCTCTACTCAAACTGACAATCCCAGATGTGATAAAGTAAACATAGGTTTAAATACATTACATCTAGGGAAAGTAGCATCTATTTTGCTCTGCAGCCAGACAGGGTAACAGGATATCGTTACGGCTGCAGGTGCTGATTATTATCATATTATTATTTTATTTTATATTATTATATTGTTATTTTCATTTTTCCCCCCCAAATTAATTGCAATTGTCAGTTTTAAAGCAAGAGGCCGAGGTAAGGCAGCGAGCTCGCAGCGCGGCGCTCGGCTCCTTGTAGCCCCTGGCCTCTTACCCACTCGCTTTATTGATAACTTGCAAGAAGGAGATAAGGAAAACCACTCCAACATGCTCTTTTTTTCCCCCCCAAACAGCAGCTAAGCCACTGCATTGTATATTGCACTTAAATTTCAATCTCATGACTCACTGTAAGAGTTCGCGATCTCATTCAGACGCGTGTACATTTAAATTCAGCACTGAATTACATACTTGGGGTATGCTGAAGGCAGCCTGCAGTCGGTTATTTCCATCCGCTACTGAAGTCTTCGGGCTGTTCACTTATCCAGTAACTGCTGAACAACTCTGGCCACCACTCACTGCGATACTGGCACAGTGAAGACCAAGCCAGGAGCTGCAAGGGGCTGCAGCCCCAGGGAGGCTCTGGGTTCCTGTCTCTGCCTCTGTGGCTCTACACTTTGGGACAAAGAGCCACTCAGCAAGTTGTGCACCCCGCTCTGCCGCGCAGCCTTGGGGTGCTCCATGGTTCGCAAACAAGGCTGCAAAAACGCTCAGTTTGGCCAAAACAGCCGCATTTTCCAGGGTACAGTCAAAGAACTTCAGACATGGAAGCAGTTTTATTTGTGTTTATGAACTCTCTGATACCTAGTCTGTTAAGGAGAGCGATGACTCAACCTATACTTAAAAGCACAGCTTGTACAAATCCGGATACCGTCTCGTAGGTGCTGCTGCCACCTGGAAGCCCTCACAGGCGGGCTGAGGCAGGTGACATTCACCTTTACTCAGCACTCGCAGACCCCGCGGGTAGCACCACCTCCAGCACGAGAGAAACACCGATGCACTGCCGTAAGGGAGCGCCGCACAGGGATGCGGCAACGGCTCCTGGAGAAAAGGAGGCTGCTGGGCCTGGAGAAGGCTTCGGGACATGCACCAGCACCTGCCAGTACCCGCGAGGGGTTACTAGGATGGAGCCAGGCTTCTTGTGCGATGTATCATGGGAGGATGAGGGCCAATGGCCATGAACCGACATCGTGAAGGAAGGGGGGGTTGGTCAGCAAAACATCACGGCAGGGGCGGGGGGGGAACAACCCCAGACACCAGTACAGGCTGGGACTGATCTGCTGGAGAGCAGCCCCGCAGAGAGGGACCTGGGTGTCATGGTGGACGACAAGTTGACCATGAGGCAGCAGTGTGCCCTGGTGGCCAAGAAGGCCAACGGGATCCTGGAGTGCATTAGGAAGAGCGTCTGCAGCAGGTCGAGGGAAGTGATCATCCCCCTCTACTCAGCCCTGGTGAGGCCAAAACTGGAGCACTGTGTCCAGTTCTGGGCTCCCCAGTACAGGAGGGATGTGGAGCTGCTGGAGAGAGTCCAGCGCAGGGCTACCAGGATGATCAGGGGCCTGGAACATCTGCCCTATGAGCAAAGGCTGAGGGAGCTGGGTCTGTTCAGCCTGGAGAAGAGGAGGCTGAGGGGGGACCTGATCAGTGTCTATAAATACCTCAAGGGGGGCAGTGAGGAGGAGGGGGCGGCCTCTTTTCAGTGGTGGCCAGCGACAGGACTAGAGGAAATGGCCACAAGCTGAGGCACCAAAAGTTCCACAGGAACTTAAGGAAAAATTTCCTTACAGTGAGGGTGACAGAGCCCTGGAACAGGCTGCCCAGAAAGGTTGTGGAGTCTCCTTCTCTGGAGATCTTCAAAACCCACTTGGACACAGCCCTGTGCTCTGAGTGTCTCTGTGTGTGCAGGGGGTTGGACTAAATAATCATTAGTCTAAAGGTCCCTTCCAGCCTTAAGGATTCTATGATTCTATTATTAGAATACATTAGGTTTGCAAGAATAGAGAATATAGGTTTGCAAGACCAATGCACTAAAGAACCTTGCCTGAATTCAGTATTGACTCTGCTTTGACCACGGTGTTGGACTGGAAACCACCTGAATGCTTCTATGAAAAGATCAGATAGCCTCAGTTTCTACAGGATTTTGCTGAAAATGAAAAAAAAAATCAATTAAAAGTGAAAAATTCCATGCAGAGCTCC